AGCGCTGCATAGTCATTAAAAGTTTGTGAAGTATCTTGCAGCTTCTCAGTTCAAAGCTCTTATTTTGCTATTACAGTCATTAGGATTTCAGGAAAGACTTGGATGAGGATCCCTAGAGTTAAATGGAGGGGGCCATATTTTTTGTCATTGATTTTGAAACAGAACTTCCCACTGAGTCCTCGTAAAATATCTTTGCTATTAAGTGCTTTTTTCCCAAATAAAATGCAAGTACAATTGCACTGGACAACATCTGAAAACAAAATATACTCTTTTCATTTATATAGAAACAAATTATTGGTACCCAATGAAATTATCATTTCAGATAGTGTATAGACCCTATTTTTAACTGTAGATGTGAGAGTGAAAACTTCAGAATTCATTTATAAATCTTAAGTGGATAAGTTTAGGATTGTCAATTCTGTTTGTGAAGCAAAGCAAAGATAATGTTGAAACAAGTGATTTTGGTTATTCAGACTAAGATGCCTCCTCTAATTCAATGCTATTTTGCTGAATAGCAAGAAACAAAACAAAACAAAGTTTCTGTTCTTATGAACAGGATTTCACTACACTGATATCAAGACAAAATCCATCTAGTATATACAACTTTGAAAAGCTGTTGTTACATTGCAGACATTAATTTAATATATTTTTTCCAAATATAGGATTGTAACCTTTATTATTTATGAAATAATTAAAAACAGCTAGTTAGGTAACTATTGCTAGAAGCAATTCCTCAATATAGGCTGTTTTCTGCCTTTCTTTTTCTCTAGTCTTTTTAAAATAAACAGCATTCACATTTTGAATTTATTTAAAAGTTTATATGCCACACCCTCATTTGTGGATCTAAACTTCTTGTAAACAAATATATGCAAATTATTAAATTGGTTTACAAGGTAAACCAGTGAGAAGCTTTCAAACATCCATCTCTTAATCTGACTCCTAGCTAAGAACCTCATTGGTTTTCATTCATAGTTCTAGATCCACTTCTTTAAATGATAAGGAGAAAATTAGAGTGGTCCAATTCAGGGATGTACCCATATGTTCTATATAAACAGTGTTGCTAGCTTAGGCAAGAAAATAATCAGGCATTTGGTATTGTTGGGCATTATTAGTGTAACAGGTTCTAACAAGATAAATGAAAGTTAACTGCAGAAATGTAGACTTGGCCACAAAGAATTAAAAGCACTGGGAATTAAGATTTTTAAATAGCAGTTAGGTTAAAATAGCAGTTTACTAAAACAACAACTGACACCAATTCTTAGACCCCTTTATTTAATCCAAAGAATCAGTTTTACAGGAATGTATTGCTTTCTCCTCCCTACCTCCTCATTCCATTATACATTGTAATATGCATGTGAATTAACCCAATCAGTAAGCTTAACCTTATCAGTCATATTGATTTGCTAGGTTGTATTGCATGACTAATGACTATCTTTGGTTTTGATTGCAAAACTATAAAATGAAATGATAATTTGCATAACTCCACCCCTCTTTAGGCTTCTGTGTCTCCATTATAAATTCTGTCAATAAACATTTGTACTTCAGTGTAATTGTGTCCTGGTCTCGAGTTTAAGCCTATGCCTGAGAAACTTTCCTTCAGTGACACATCCAATATAGCTATAATGTTTTCCATCTCAACATAATAGAAGATGCCACGTTATAATATACTGTTGAAAGTTTAGTGATTTTCCACCTCTTATCTAGATATTCCTCAATTTAGATTCTCCTGAATATTTCCATAGGTTGGTCATAATTGTCCAGCTTGTTCATGTAGTAGCCATCTGTTTAACAGAGAGAAAAATGGAGATATCAGTTAACCAAGATTTTGCTAACCAGTGTTGTAGTAGCTATATCACCATCCAATGGACATGGATGGAATTCTTGGACCTTTTTGTATTATTTTTTTATAGATTTATTTGCCCATATGTATTGTTTTTAAAACTATTGTTTTTAAAATTTTAAAAACTTTGAGGAATGGGACTGTACTAATGAGACTGAGAAACTGTTTATATTCCCGGAAACTCATTTGCCCTATCTAGGGATAACCTAGATTGGGATGCATGAAGCTTCTTCTGGGTTCACTGATGGACTGGGACACTGGATTGCTTTAGCTGAATTGGAGAAATACTCAATACACTGATCTTGGCTAATGTCATTTGCTGCCTTTGAATTATGTACATAAGCTGATTAACCCATAAAACAGCCCAATTATCCATTCCTTAAAAAGGTCACTAGGTCCATTGGTCTAGTCAGTATGACTATATTAGATTATATTCTCTTGAAAGATAATAGGAGCGAAAAATGAATATGCTTTCTTACAAAATTAATGGGGATTTTAGCATTTGGGTTTGGATTATCAGCCATTGGATATAATATTTTAGAAGACCCATTCCATTGCAATTCTATTAAAAATCTCTGTATGTACTGTATGAATAGTATTTAGTTCCCCCCCCCCAAAAAAAAAACTTAGGATGTATTTCAAGAATCATTGTGTTTGTAAAAACACAAATAAAGGAAGATTTGCAGAATAATATTTTTGTCTAAATGAATTATAGGCTACAAAGTTTTATTTTTCCTTTTTTAGATAACACTTGTAGATATTGAATAATTTTATGCAAAAAGATATTGCTGATTAAGGTAAAGTAACAAAACTCTGCATTCTCTCCAATATAACTATAGAAATCCAACATCCTAATCATTGCAACATATTAGCTTAATATGCTTTCTTTCTCAACAAACTACCCCTTTCAGCAAAAAGTGGGAAAACAACAAATTCCTGGCCTCACACAAATGTGTAATATAGCCCCACCTCTTTACTTCATTACCTGCCTAATATAGCTCTTTTTAAATATATAACTTTATTGATTTTCAAAAACATAAGATAAAAGAACAAGAAAAAACATTGAAAACAAAAAATGATCAAGAAAGAAAGAATATAGAGGTACAAAAAGAAAAAAGAAAAAGTAAGAAAAATAGAAAAAGAATGACTTCTGACTTTCTTTAATACAGATAAGAATAATAAATAAATAAATCAAAGGTTAGCAAAAAGCCTGTGTATAGAGCCCCTTCCCTCAAAAAGCGGGCCATTCCTGCTTTTAAAATGACCCAGTAAAGAAGTAGTTCTGTAACTGTTTTATGACACTCAGATTTTTTGAATACACATTTATGAGGTGATTTTAAACATAGGAACAAGCTATTTCCAAATTGCTCCTGTGTAATATCAATGAGTCTTAGCTAAGACAATTCATTTGAATTTGTGACTGGAGAATGCATCAAGCTTGCTTTGATCAACTAGCTTCCAAAATCTGATTAATAATGCGGACATTTATTATATTTTCTGAATAATGAGAAAAATAGGAAGAGAATCACATTTCAATGTACTGTTTCATCATTGGCATAATATCACACAGCCACGTGAACTATAATTTGTTCTAAGAACTGGTGGGGACTTGTCTTGCTACAGTCAGAGGCAATCCATGACCAAATCCACTAGTTTAAATATTCATCTGTGACCATGTAGTCGTGAAATAGCTTTTAAACAACAAGATAAACAGTACAGCTGCCAACATAAAGTAATCTTATGCTAAGGGACTGAAATGACACCATAGACTTCCTCTTTGTCATTTTGACTTGGATTTGGAGCTGGACGTGGGCTCAGTTCCAGCTCAGAAAGCCATTCACTTCAAAGGAACCTAAATTGTCCCAAGGAGCTAATTCTGGCAGTCAGTTGCTGTTATTGTCTGGCAAGTCATCCTAATAGCCAAAGCCGTCTGCTCTCTCAAATCAGAGCTTATTTCTGGGGTCAGAAGTGGCTGTTCTTGCTTTAACCTGATGAGAGATGGAAGCAGAAATTTACTGAGAGTAAAATAATGACAGCTGTTTTTTATTACATTCTGATTGTGACTTCCAACAAGTTTATTGTGAGTTGATGTTTCCCTCCCCCCTTGTTTACACCAATAAAACCTAATTATCCAAATACAAACCAGTTCCCAATTTTAGCTTTTTTTAAATGTAAACCGTTTGGCTTTTTTAGGGAGGATCTTGGAATCTGCCAAAACACATTTTCATTATAACGTTTGTATTTTCAAAGAAGTTTCTTGTTCTCGTGGTACCTAGAAATTCCTCAGAAATGTTTTTTGAAGAATCAGCAAAAGAGATCTTTTATCAGCTTCAGTGGCCTCTAGCAATCCCGTTACTCAATTTTTTTCTTTCAACTTTTCACTTAGAAGTGTAATGAATTAAATATTGTAAATATTTTTTATAATGTTTTACAGTTAATCCAATCAGAGGCTGGCAGGGAAGAAGGAAAAATGAGAAACATTTTCTACCTGTCTTATTTGTTTCTAAAATTCATTATTTTGGATTTTGCACAATTTTTACAATACTATGCTAAGGAAATGGGCTCTTTGGCATAGTGGTGATAATATCAAATCAAATCCTTCAAAGTTAGAGTCATCTTTGGGTTTTCCTCTGTCGCACTAGAAACCATCTTCTCCAGCATGAAGAATAAAACTGAATGAATAGCATTCCCAGAGGCTCTCTGGCCCAATACTAAACTCATTTGCAGTACCAGGGTGGAAAGGTCTACTGATTTGTAAAACAAAGACAGTTATCTTCCATTTTTTTATAGTTAGAGAAAAAGATTGTCCTGTTCTGTCATACTCATAGGCATATCTGTCTTGCCAGTTTACTTTTTTATTATTATAAAATGTTTGGACCACAGTAAGAATGAGTTGTTTTTAATTATACATAAATCATAACTCTCTAGGCCCATTTCACATAATTTTAATGAATTATTGGGCATCAGTTATTGTTTGCAGATCAATAAATATATAGGAGTTATTTATTTGAAAATGTTCTAACCGAATGTTGATGGCTAAGCTGAGATTCTCATAATTTTTTTGTATACATAGAAGCACAGTAAAAAAAAATATATTCAGTTCAAAGTGGAGGCAGATTTAAATTTTCTCACATTTTCCATCTGTTTTTCCCCCATCTAGGATTTCTTAACCGTGTTACCATCAATTCCTCTGTTTGGAAAGCTTGGTCAAGCCTATTCCAGAGGTGGACAATTTGTTTAAACATTACTTCTCCAACCAGTTTTGTAAGAAAAGCTAACTCTTTTAAGGCCGAAAATAATGCCTATGATTACTGTACCACACAATCTTGTTGAAGATTTTTATACAGACATCATTAGTATAATCGAGTTGTGGATATTTGAACTGAAAGAAGAATTCCAAAGCAATTGGTTAACTGCTGTTATCATTTTATGAAGAATATCTGAAAACAACTTCAGGAACAGGTCTCCATCTTTCCTTTCAACAATCAAAAGCTCCAAATAGTAATGAAATTTAAAATAAATGCTATTTGGCAACAATTTGAAGAATCGGGCATTTTCTTAATCAGATGGTCTCTACTGTTTTTACAGTTATTTCAGAAATGTAGCCTATTTCTTCCATCAAAGAATAAGTAAACATGACATAAAATAAATTAATGATGTGATGCCATCCATATGAAATTGTTAAAATGTCAATATACATTACATTAGTATCTTCCAAAAGTCTTGAAAAATCGATATCTAGAATTCATTGCTAGGTGACCAGTAATATGCTATGTGGGTATCCTGGAGTCTTAGCTCCATTCAGGAGTATCATGTTGGTGGCGGCATATAGAGTGTAACACTTACATTGTACCTGTCTAAAATTCAAGCCAAATACAGCTTTCCCCACAATCATGCTACAGTTGCAGGGCATAGCTACATGATCCTGGGAGAAGACACCTCTGCTTTAAAGAATTGTTCACCATTCCTTTGTGAGCACCTCCATGCTCTCCAAAGCAGTGCATAACTACAGGGCTCTGTGGGATAATAAAACATATATTACTTCCCAATCCTAACTATACTTATAATTGGATCAATCTACTTCTACTATATGTGCCACCTCTGCCATATGAAATAATAATGTCGTTTGTTTGACTTCTAAGTTTCCCATTCCTTATGTTACTCCAGGTGTGTGTTTTTTTCTTTTCCTTTCTCTTTTATCCCCTGACTTAGTGGATCCTTCTCTTTTGTATCACTATTACAGGGGGCACTGAGGAATTATAAACCATTAGTGAATCACTGCAGAATTTTCCTGCTTCATTGGTCTGCTTCTTAGGTATTCATTGTTCACAGGATTTGGTCGATGAGCCCTCCTAAAGTTCTCTGTACATAAAAAAAAGTGACTCAATGCTACAGTAGGTTCAGCATATCATTTTACATCCTGTTTCATAATATCCAATGCTATCAAATACAAAGAACAGAGAGCCAAGCTCTTGGGCAGGGGCAAAGCATAGATCATTTTAAAAAATGACAACAATACAAATCAAAGTTGACAGAAATTTTAAAGCATATTTGGATGCTTCTTTATGAGTAAGGCAGGTTATCAAATTCAAAGTTTTGGAAGTTTTCTATTTATGACCAGCAGCAGGAAATGAATGTCCTTTAATTCTGGTAAGTGAAGAATGGCAACCCAAGGCAAGTCCCGCCTGTAAAGATTTAATTCCACCAAATAAATCTGAGTGCTTTTATTCTGGGAGGGGAGCAGGAGCTGGTCAGAAGGCATTCATAGAAAGGTGTTGATGAATAGGGAGGCCACCGTAATTTTTAGATGTGAGGGCTATCTCTTTGATTACTACAGCTTTCTGGTAGTTTATCTCCTCATGATAATTCACCCTGTGTTGTTACTTACCTTTCTACTACATTTTCCCATCAGTCCAATTAGATCTGCCAATACTTTCTCAGATTAATCTTCTTCCTTGGTTTCTTTAAATATATTTGACCCCATTATAAACATAACCTATGCCAAGCAAACCAGTTGTTGTTTCAGTTGCTGATAGCATTCTGCATATATTTAAGTTAAAAAAAAATGTACTTCCCATTTTCTAATCCATTCATTTATTCATTTACCACCCAGACCTCATTCAATCCATTTTTCTTCCTTCCAAGCCAATTTTAGCAATCTACTCCCTGAGTAAAATATGTTTGTAGATTTTATGAGATGAATTTAAGAGGACCACATTCTGCCCTTTTTGCACTAATTGAATTTGGTAGGAAAGGGTGTACTTAAAGCAATAGATGTGAATATTATGTATTTCAGAAGTCCACATTTGTGTCTTCTCCCAAGCCTATATTTCCTATTAGGGTTAGTATAGATTTTAGAAAATAAAAGTTGGAATTCTTTTTCCAACAGCTCATATGGGAGGAGTTAAATCTCAATTGAGGCAATTAAAACTCTAGGAGGGATAATTGCAGAGGAAGGTACCTAGTGCTGTTTCCTTGTGATAAGAGAGTGGTGCTAATGTTTCTCTTGGTTGTTTTGTCATTTTTATCTCCTTAGTCTGCTTAGGCTTCTCCTGTCCCTCCCCTTCTTTAGATTCTTTCTTTAACAGGTAACTAATTCTGTAACTTATCCCATGTCATAAACATCCCTTTGTTGTCACACTGCAGCTTTAGTGCCATTTTATAAACCATGCAGTAATGCACTCCTTATATTGAAATTTCTACTGTAGCTCCAAACTATTGGCTCATTTTTAATAAATGGCATGTATATAAAACAGCCTTCAGCTCTGCAGAAGAAGGATATCTGTTTTGGTAAGTAGATACTACTATACAATGAGCTGGTTGGTATTTTTTAAGTTGCATCTACATTTGTTATTCTGGACTAGATTGAACAAAACACACAATTGAATATGCAGGGCGGATCAGTAGAAAGGGCAGCAACAGGCAGAAATAGATGCTAGAAAGCTGGGGTGAATAGTGGGGTAGCACAAGGGCCCTAGGAAGAGGGGAGAATATAGAAGATACTGGGAAGCAAGAGGTATATTTGAGTTGACTATTTAATTTAGATAGATGTACAGTTTAGAACATGGTTCTTTCTATAGCCGTAACTAGACAGGGACCAAACAATCATTCAGTAAAAAATTTGATAGGTATAAAAGAAAATATAAACTTGTTCTGAACACAGCCTGTGTTGCTTTGCCTTTTCACCTTCCAAACAATTTCTATGAAATCTCATTCTTTGTCCAGTATATATATGTTTTTTAAAAAGTAAATATTAAATAAAATGCTGAGTCTATAAGAAAGTCTATGAGAAAACATATACTTTTAAAAATCAGCTGGAAGTTATATTTCAGATGTTTCTTTCCTTGGCAGCCAAGACTCCTGAATATTAGGAGCACACAATATATTCTTATAGAGTAAATGGAAAGGCAGAACTAATTTCTTTGATTTCAAATTGAGCCAATAAATTAAAGTACAGCATGACTAAACTGCATTTTAAGAAAGACATTTTCTCATGCACTTTTTAACCTTGTCTTATCTGAACAAAATGAAGAACTTACCCTTAAGACATCAACTGGCCTTATAACCTAATTTTCCCAATATCAAATATATATATATATATATATGCGATAAAATAAATAAATTCGAACACCAGGATAATATCAAACTAAAAGCTGTTTAATACAAGTGCTGAGCTTTCATCAGCCAGCACTGCCAACATCATCAGAGCATAAAAGCAAGTTAATGGGAGTTCTCTTTATGTTACTAGCCAGCTTTGCGTCCGGCTTTTCAACCTGATGATTGGTCCACTCGATGACCAGGTCGAAAAGCCGGGTGCAAAGCCGGCTAGTAACATAAAAAGAACTCCCATTAACTTGCTTTTATGCTCTGATGATGTAGGCAGTGCTGGCCGATGAAAGCTCAGCACTTGTATTAAACAGCTTTTAGTTTGATATTATCCTGGTGTTCGAATTTATTTATTTTATTGCATGGCTTTACCCAGGATTCGTATTTTTAATATAATTATATATATATAATTTGATATATATATATATATCAAAGGGGGTATGGCAAAAATAAGCATTTTTTCTGTTGGAAAAGAGAAAGAGAACAGGATATTTGATGTTATTGGCAGAGTAACTGGAAATTAGTGAACTGATCTTTCAGGAATTTAATTTCATGCACAATATCAAGTTTATGCTAATTATATTTTGTGTCTACAAGATTATTAGAAAGGTGCACTTTCATATTGAGTTTATTTTGTTCTATGTCTGCAGTGATGGAAAATCTTGGCCTGCAGGTCCAACGGTTCTCCTCTGGCCTACCAGTTCCTTGCTAAGACTCAGTAGATATCCTTCCAGAAAACTGGCTTTTAAACCTTTTAGGTGGTGGCTTACATTTGCCTAGCTCTTGCCTTTCTGTTAGGAAAAGCAAGGGCTTTTCCTAAGAATTTCAAAACTAAGAAATGTTGATTTTTTTTCAGCGTTCCAGTCAGCTGAAGGCCAAGCACAGTTGAGTGAGCCAACATTTCAAGAACAAGAGTTGGCTTCTGGAATGAGGATAGGGACAAGAGTTTAGTGCCTCTGAATTTCTGTTGTGGTAATAATGAGTGTTTACAATTACTCTAACATCTGCTGGAAGGCTAACTCTGTTAAAAATGGTTTGCTTTGCTGCCAGTTTCATCTTTCAGAACATGCAAAACAGAATAAGAGGAACACGTGTCTTGGATTTAACCCTGAGTAACTGGGAATAATTGGTTGATGGAGTTCAAGTGCTCTCCTGAAATGTGTAATTGCAGTGGCAATGGCCTCAGCTTAGATGTGCATCTTCAATTTTAGGAGAGCCAAAACTAAAACATTAACTCTTCAAAGAAAATTAGAGCAGCATCGTATATCAGCAAACTTGAAAATGTTCAGGAGGCTGGTAGATCCAAAATATGGAAGGCATAATTATAGATATGAAAAAACAAACAAACTGGGAGTGTGTAGTGAGGTGCCCCAGGGCTCTGTTCTGGGCCCAGTGCTCTTCAACATCTTCATCAACGATCTGGACGAGGGGATAGATGGGGAACTCATCAAATTTGCAGACGACACCAAGCTGGCAGGAATAGCCAACACTCCAGAAAACAGGCTTAGGATACAGGAGGATCTGGACAGACTTGAACACTGGGCGCTATCTAACAAAATGAAATTCAATGGTGAAAAAAGTAAGGTTCTACATTTAGGCAAGAAAAACCAAATGTGTAGGTATAGTATAGGGAGTACCTTGCTCAATAGTAGTAACTGTGAGAGGGATGTCAGAGTCCTAGTGGACAATCATTTAAATATGAGCAAGCAGTGTGCTGCAGCTGCCAAAAAAGCCAACACAGTGCTAGGCTGCATTAACAGAGGGATAGAATCAAGATCACGTGAAGTATTAATACCACTTTACAATGCCTTGGTAAGGCCACACTTGGAATACTGCATCCAGTTTTGGTCACCATGATATAAAAAAGATATTGAGACTCTAGAAAAAGTACAGAGAAGATCAACAAAGATGATTAGGGATTGGAGGCTAAAGCATATAAGGAATGGTTGCTGGAATTGGGTATGTCTAGTTTAATGAAGAGAAGGACGAGGGGTGACA